AATAGTCGTTGCTTGGTAACAACTCTCAACAATGGAGATTCTTCAGCTTCTGTGCTCACGTCGTTAAGATCAAACTGAACTGTCAACTGAAATATAGCACAATCTCCTCTCAGCCATCCTTGCAGAACTCAACTCTCAAATCGACTGGGTCGCCCCAACTGTCTCCCTTACAACCCCTTTGCACGACCGAGTAGAAGACACCGTTTCTAAAAGTAACTCTATTGTTGAATACGTTTTAACTGCCGCGGGAACGTGTTTACCGATCCGTTGCCTAGAAACGGCTGTTGCTTTTTCGCCTATCTCGCAGTCATTGCATAGCAACGGCTGTATACGCTACAATATAAAAAAAAGTATCAGTACTCATACAGTATGCTCTCCTGTTGCACAAATATCTAGCTTGACATTACTGCCACTATATTCCAGTATTTATTTTCGAAATAACTTATTATTTAAGAACAGATTCTGCATATGTTAAGTTTGTGTGATGTAACCACAAATTCTCGCATCGTCGCCATGCTTGTAATTTTTGACTACATATACTTAACCTCTATAGGTATGTTTATGATCTATCGTCAGACTAAATTGTATTTTCATGGCTCAAATGCTTAATTAGTTACCGCCACGAAACCTAAAGTTCAAGGAAATGTTCTCATGGCCCCCGAGTTATTATTTTAAATTCTACAGAAAACAATTCATAGCCCACCAAGATCTTATCACTGTACATTATTTCAGGACGCTAAAATAGGTCTATGTAGCACTAGAGTCACTCCCACCTCACACGTTCGCGCCTCGGTACGGACCACACAGAGAATTCCGCTTCCAACAGCTATTCTGTTCTTGCGTGCATGTCTGTTGTGGCCATTACCTAGAAACGGTCGTTGTTTATAGAACCATTACTTAGCAAAGGTTGTTGTATAGCTGCTTATTTCGCTGTCGTTGCTTAGCAACGGGCCTACATGCCACAATATTCTATAGACTAAAATGTTTTTAACGAAGAAGACAAAATAACTTAAATACAAAAACATTTTAAAATACTGATAGTACCTTGATGATGGATTATAAAACTGTTGTTAAAAATACGAAGTTTATGACAAATATGTTAATAGCATAACGTAAAATACAACCACTGAAGCCCGAAACTAATCTAAATAATATTTAAATATTAAGTTCCAACTTCACAGAAAACACAGTGGGTCCCCATTACAAAGATCAAAATGTTAATGCTGTTTCTGGAGCCTAAACTCACACGAAACTCGTGAATACACACTGTAAGACTGAAAACCCACTGACGCGACAAGTCGCGCGCGGTTTGTCGAGTGTTGTCGCTCGCGGCTGTTATTTGTATTGCTTTTATGAGCCGCGCGCGGTTAAGTTTTGGAACGCGGCACGCAGGCGGCAGAGTTGTCGCACGCCCAATACCGTATTTACGCATGTATAGGCCGCAGCACAATTTTCAGACAGAAATTAGAGAAAAAATAATTTTCTTGGAATATTATTTCAGGAGTAGAACACCCTGTATTACTAATTATGAATATAATTTTTTTTTAATGAAGTTTGATTTCGAATATTTCGAATATAAGCCGCAACCCAGTTTTCCTCTTGAATTTTTGGCAAAAAATGTGCGGCCTATACATGCGTAAATACGGTATGTACAACTAACGGACGCGCGCGACAAAGAGCGGCTAGCCGCTCGCGACTAGTTGCGTCTGTGGGTATTCAGCCTAAGGGTTTTGTGTTATTTAACGACGCTCTATTTTACAGCGCCGAATGGTAGGATGATAGATGAATGATGAATTGGAGAGGATCTGGAAAGAAGCTACTGTAGATTAATGGAAGTACTACCCTCATATTTGCTTGAAGGGACTAAAAGAAGCCCCTAAAATCCTCAATGAGGATAGTCTCGGTCGAGATTCGAACCGAACACCTCCAGAGTAAAAGTATAGAGAGTTACCATGATAACGCTTCATGGCTGGCCGCTTTACCCCTAGGGAAATCGCCCCTCCCACTGTTCCCGTTGGAGAGATGGTTGGATGGGCCCCAGAGCCGGTCTGAAAATTCTTGTCTTGTTGGGATTCTAACCGCGGACATCCAGCCCGTAGCCTGTCGTTATACCGACTGAACTATCCCGCCTAAAAGCCGCCACTGAAATGTTACCATTCAAAAAGATACATTTGTGTCTACAATGCGAGCTGTGGGGCAAAGTCTACAGTTCAGACACCAGAGCTAAAAATGTTCACAACATCGAGACAAAATTACACGAGTCTAGTACATGGGAAGCGTACAGCGTGATTCATTCAGTACGAGTTTAGTACACAAGACGCGGGCAGGAGGCGCGTGTAAGGGTTTCAGCGGCTGAAATGAACTTTGCGAGGCGGTGGACGAAATCATGGACGGCCTGTAAAATAAATTAATACATACTAGAAGAAACTAAAAACAGACTCCATTTTAGACTAAAATAAACCACAAACAGAATCAATTTCGAAATGCGAAACCAAACGAATTCAGCATGTTAATGGTATGCAAAGAAATAATAAAAACCGAAGATGAGCATGCTACTGGACGATTAGCCGCCCTTCTACTCTGATTATGAAGTCAGTAAGTTCCTCCGAAACGTCGATAACGATCTACCACATTGTATGACATCATATCCCAGAGGACAATAATACTCATAGTCACAGTTGCTACAAGAGCCTCTCTTTTTTATAGCTCAGTCGGTACAACGACTAGGCATGGGATGAATAACCGTGGAATCGAGGTTCGATTTCTGGAGAGGAGAAGATATTGTCTTCTGCACAGTGTCCAGACGAGTTCTGGGGCACGAGGGGCTCCTTCCATGTGGGTAAAGCAATCGGGGCGAGATACATGGAGAAAGCTGTCATATTCTGGCTACACATAGCCGTGAGTCTGAGGATTATTGTCTGTGACATGGCGCCACGTAGTGTGCTAGATATTTACTGTGGCATGTAGACCCGTTGCTAGACAACGACCGCAGAATTAGCAAATATATAACAGCTATCGCTAAGTAAGGGCTATGCAGACAATCATGTCTCCACGACAACAATGACACGGCAACAGAAGGACGGTGTTTTCTGTGCGGTCCGTGCCGAAATGTTATAAGCAGGACAGTAAGAGTCAGTTGACTAGACCAAGGTTTTCCGTGGTTTTCCTCGGTTCTAGAGCAAATGCTGAGTTGGTACCCAAATTCCACGTTCTACTGCATGCCTCACATGCAACCCTCCCATTGGTAACATCAAAATTTCGCCCTAATATAGCCCTCCCAACGTCAGCAAAAAATTTACTATAATCCACCCCTTCCAGCATCGTAAAAAATATATAAAAATCCGATTATATGCTCTACCTATACCAGAAGGACAAGCGGGCACTGCCTGGGAACCTTCAAAATCGGAGATATAGTTTCTTACCCCCCCCCAAATGTAGTGTCTCTCACTACCAACCCCCGATTATTCTTCTTCTTATTCTTATTCTTATTCTTCTTCTCTCTCTTTCAGTTGAGTTAGTTGGTGAGTGAGTGAGTTAGGGGACTACTGGGGCTCAGCAATTGTGAGCTGTTGCTGTTAGAAGTTGTAGCTAAGGTCGGTGACAGTTCGGGAACCAAGAGGAAGGGGAACGTCCGTTGTTGAAAGCCGCTATCGAGCAACGGTTAGTGAAGACATGACTGTAGACACTAGTGTGTGTGTGTGTGTAATACTGAACTGTAAATTTTAGTCACGCGCTGTATCAAAAAGTCAAATAAATTCGATCATCAATCCAAAACCCTTATATAGTCATTCACACTGCATACACGTGACATTACCAATATTTCGGAGGAAACAGTTGCCTCCATCTTTAGGTGTCAAAAAATGTGGAGGAAGTAGTTCCCTCCGGAACGTTGATAAATACGTACCAAATTTCGAGGCGTCACGTCCCAGACGAGAGTAATTTCCGCGGATTAGGTTTCGAGGACTTTGAAGATAAATGGTTGGGTAGCCATGTTACATGTATGAAGCGACCGTAGCCTAGTCTTCAGTAACTACAAACAGCCGCGAAAACATAGTCTGGGTAGCCGCTTCCCGAGCCGAGAGCTGAACATGGGAACTCCCGCATACGATGCATGTATGTTATCCACCCGGTCAGGACTTTCGGGCGTGAGAAGAGGACATGCAACTGGCGGACCTTAACCACTCTACAGTCCGTCTGGGGACAAGTTCAGCTCCAGTGTATGAAGGGCAACGGTAGGGGTCGTCCACAAATCATGCCGATTTTTTCAGCTTGCATAGTACACGCGGGGGCTTCTTTAATTTGCTTAGCTTTCTCTTAGTTGGTTGAGGCACTATGCTAAAAGCCGGAAGGTAGCGGGTTCGAGACCCGATGAGGTAGTTTTTCTCAATTCACCTAATCCTTCCAGCCGCACTATGGTCCTGGGGTCGACTCAGGCTCTAATAGAAATGAGTACCAGGAATTTTCCTGGGGGGGGGTAAAGGCCGGCCGTCGCGTAAAGCTGACAACCTTACCGCCATCTGTGAGCTGATTGTCTAAAGAAAACGTGGGAACCTCGACTTCTCACAACACTGTGGGCCTTCATGGCCTGTTACAGCGATAGCTTTACCTTACCTTCTCTTCGTCGGGTAGTAAGCAATGGCGTAACATAATGGATGAGTAGATTAGTATGGAGCAGTGGTGGGAAAATTGTCCAGGAAACAGAGAGAGAGAGAGATATTTCATCGACCACAAATTTCACATTAAGCCACTCGGGACTGAACACAAGACTCCATGGTGAGAAACCAGCGCCTTGGCAGTGGACGTCAAAGGCGCGAAGGCTCGTGTCAGATTTATAGTGCATCATAAAAGGAAACCATTAAATAGTAGTTGCGTAGACGCAATGTAAAATATCTTTTTGTTCATCTTCTTTGCTGAAGCATATACCATACCACACACTGGACAAAAAGTGATTAAGTTCTACTGGATGAAAGGACCGAGTGTTCTGTTGACCTCGGATTCTCTGCGACTGACGCCCAACGAGGCTAGAGAAGTTCTTCAAACCATGCAGTATTCAGCGGCATTCACGCGCTGAACATAAGTAACCCCCAAAGGCTGTGTGAATTAGTGTTCAGTATTTTACCTCTGAAACAATTTATATATTTCACACTACAACAGGATTTTGTACAAACCGGAAAACAAGTTTTTTGTTAACATCAAGATTATGTTATTCTTTAATGACAGTGCAGATACACATTCTCAAGAATACAAATTTAGAAATTTATATCCATAACAAACACAGCTAGCGACAAAAGTGAATCTGGAATGTGAAGTGCAGAATCTTAGACAATTTTTTCTCGACGGAAGTTTAAATACATATAAGGAATTTTCAATGGAGGGCACTTCTGATATATTTACGTTCCGGTACGTGCGACAAGCTAAACCACGTCCGATTTGGAGGAGGGTTCGAATACCTCCACTGTAGCCCTGTGAGTCGCAGTAGGCGACTAAAAGGGAACCCACTGCTTGTGGGTATAACTAGGCCACCCTGTTCCTGGGGAACATAAACAAGGGGACCTGACCCTCCAGGTTGGGAGAGTCTCGAATGTGAGACAGAAAAATATGGTCACGAGAACTACTGCGCTGGCGAGGGCCAGCAGCAATTGTAAACTGCAGACCCTTTCTCTCGTCAGAGAGGACTCCCCACATCAACAAATCCCCAACTGTCTGACAGTAATACAAATCTGGTCTAAGCTCCAGATGGGGCTTGACACCAAGATAGATTGGCCGACTGACCGTCGGCCGTAACATAATTTTGACTTTGACTTTGTTCTCGATTAGCCGATGAATGTAAGTGTATCATTACAGGGCGCTAGGAGTAACAGTGCTGATACTGCTGGTGACGTGTCATGTGGTCTGCTTGACGCCGGATCATGAAGACGGCTATTCCCCGGACGTCTTGGATCATCCAGAACCTGCGTCCGGGTAACACATTATCATAATTAGATGTTACGCTATCAGTCACGTTTTAAGAGTGTTGTGATTTCTTGGATCTGACGCCATTAGTTTGGTACATGTTTATGAACGTTTCGAAAGAACGTGATGTTTTCAATTTCAGAGTTGAAGAGTAAGTCAGCAGGCAGACGCAGTAGGTTCCTCTGAAACGTCGGTAAACTCTTATATCCCAGAGGACAATACAACCAGCTGATGCCATTAGGATCTCAAATCCCATACGAACGACTCGTTATTCTGGTGTTCAGTTACTGAGCGCAAGTAGGTAACCCTCGCCACTCGTGGATTTTCCAACTGCCGATTTCAAGTATCCGCAGTTTACCACCATCTACGATGTAGTTCTAACATCCGTGGTGTCCAATGCTTATAATTTGAATGCACATGGTAAAGATCTGAGGTTTAGGCAAAAACAGAATCACATTTGCTGTAAGCTGGTCTATTATGGCATCTGAAACCAGTCTGGCTAGCTTCCAGTTTGCCACACTGATGCAGTATTTTTCTTTTGTGACACATCTTAGGCGCATTTGCAGGCCTGTGGAGAGCCTGATTTCGCTATACTCATCCGCCCGTGTGTAATAAGCATGAAACAGCTGGAGTAAATTGTTGGTATTTGGCCGTCAACACAACAATAAAAATAAAAATAAACCAGTCGATCTGCTTACATTGGTTATATTTGATAGTTGCTACATATTTCGGTCCACATTTTGGACCATCTTCAGGAAATCTCATCAAATATGTTTATTGTTATTGAATTGCCTTAATAATGGTCCATATTAGTGTTACTCATCACAATCATATAATACGTGCAACCGACACGATGTTGCAAGAATTTATTTTAGGACATGAATATTCTTCTCACGCTTTACAGGACAGAGTCTCTGGAGTGTCCGTCAGACAACATCATTGTCACCCGTTACAAGTGCAAAGGAGCAGATGAAAAGTGGGTTGACTGCTCAAGGCGCCAGTGCTGCCCAGATTATGTATTTGTTGCTGGCAGGTATGCAGCCCACAGTGCACATTTCTCTCTGAACAACAAAATCGTAATGATGCTGTGTGACATTGTGGCAACACAATGAACTCATTTAAGCTTTGGTGTACCAACAATGATGTTATGGATCATCCGAAAATCTTGCAAATGTCTTTTGCTTGCATAGTACACATGGCCCAGCCTTGGTAACTGCATGACCTTCTCCTCCTTGAAAGGCATGAGCACTAACTCACATGTCTTTTATCGAACAGCATGAATGTAGTTTGAGTAATTAAGTTAATGAAATTGGGATGGGTCAGACATGTAGTGTAACCGAGGTAAAAAAGTTACCCTTGTAACAGGCCGTGGAAGCCCATAGGGTTGAGAAGTAGAGGCTCTCGCATATTCTAGACAATTGGCTCACAGATGGCGGTGAGGTTGTCAGCCTTATGCGCCGGCCGCCCTTTACCCCCCAGAAAGATTCCCGATACTCATTTCTGTTATAGGCTTTTTTTTTAATGCTAGTGGGGTGGGACTAACTCCCTTGTACAGCAGCCACTTCTGGCCTATTGTACCAGCCCCAGATGATAGGTGAGGGTGATTGTGGAGCAATTGGTGGAATGAAGATTGGCAGGCGAAATCGAAGTACTCGGAGAAAACCTGCCCCAGCGCCACTTTGTCCACCACAAATCCCACTTGACCAGACCCCGGGATCGAACCCGGGCCGCCACGGTGGGAAGCCAGCGACTAATCGCTTGAGCTATGGCGCGGCCTCTGTTATAGGCCTAGTCGACCCCAGGGCCATTGTGGGGCCTGAAGGATTAGGTCAATTGAAAAATCCAATGACCTCATCGGGAATGGAACTCGCAACCTTCCGGCAAACAAAAAATTAATTCATAATTTTATGTTAATGTTATATTTTAGCGTCCTGTTGCACTGATTTAAGTCCATGATTTATTTAATCCGTCTTGCAGTGCATACACTCATTTATCTCCTTCTCTCCCTCGCACTACATGTTTCGGCATAATAATGCCATCTTCAGGTGCTTACTTATCCACGTCAAACCAGTTCATTGCATGCCATGTTCACACATTAAAATAACTAAAATATGTATCTATCATATACATTGTCAAACGTTAAAAATATTAAAATTGTTCAGGATACCACATCGCTACGTCGCCCCTCACTACGTCAGTCACGCCCATTCTCCTTTGTTGGAGCACTCCTTCA